AAAGGGCTATAAGAGTCTTATGAGACATAGATGCTGAGTTTACAGTCCTGCTGAAAGACAGATTCATTCACAAGAGAATTAAAAACAAGGCGTCAAGTCAGTAGGTGAGCCTGGGAACCAGAAGACTTGGGATCCATTTCCCACATTACCACACACCACTGAGGTGACCTTCGACAAGCCACCTCCTCTCTGGCCTTCAGTCCACTCATTGCACATGAGGTCATTGGACCAGAACATTCAAGTCCAATTGCCTCTCTGACAGTCTGTATGGCCCTCTCTGGAAGGACAATAAGAACTCAAGAATGTAAAGGTCAGTGGACTAGAACAGTGGGATGCTGTTGTTGTTGTTAGTTGCTCTTGAGTCAGTTCTAACTCATGGCCACCAGATGTGTGCAGAGTAAAACTGCTCCATAGGGTTTTCAAAGCTGTGACCTTTGGAAGCAAATTGCCTGGGCTATCCTCCAAGGAGCCTCTGGGTGGGTTCAAACCGCCAGCCTTTCAAGTAGTAGTCAAACGCTTAACTATTTGCACCACCAGGGACCTCAGAACAGTTGGATAAGTCTTCGTGAATGAGCCAAGAAGGATGGTTGCTATTTTACAAAACACAGAGAAGGATGCCAAGTATGAGCAAAAGCACTGAGGCAAGAAGGAGCCTGGAGGATCAGTGAATAATTAGAAAAGCTGTCTAAACTAACAGCAACCATTAGATTCTTGGAATGTTAAATGTGTGTCAGGAATTAATGAAATATAGAGTTTACCAAGGAATCTCAATGTATGAAAGTAAAAGTTTTATTTTCATGGTAACTGCCACAAACTCTGTTCTGTTGACACCCTCCCTTTCCCACTAATGACCCTCAGTCAGATTCCCTAATTTGTCCCTCACGTTTAGCTTTTAAAAGTGTTCTGGTTATTAAGACTGTTTACTTTAGCCCTTTTTTTAAAATTCAGGTGTGACTTTTAAGCTTCAATCACATTTTCACTTCAAGGTTCTTTTATTTTTTTAAACCCCAGTCCAAAGCTAGTACTAGATTTGGTCTAGCAGCTTCCTCTTCTGATTTTGGGGAGGTGAGGAAAGCATACTGGCAATGTTGCATCTTCTTCTTGGTTGTGGTAGCTTCTGCTCTAGCTCTTCATGTGATTAATTTTCCAGGGCCCTAACTCTGGGGTCTGTAACAATGAGTAGGATCTATCTTTCATACTCCTGGGAAAGCAGTAACTCCAGGAAGCAGGGTATGTCCCTTCTCCATCTGGAGGCCACACCACATCATCTCTCCCAAAGCTCCTTCCCTAACTCTTTGAACATGTTGTTGACCAGCAAGCCCAGTGGCTTAGTGGGCATCTGGCTAAGAAACTAGAAGTCAGTCCCCCACTCTCTGTAGGCACTCCTCTTTCCCTTGGCTTCCAGGAAGAAAATCAATTGCAAGCACACCCTCTTACCCCATCGAAAGGCCAAGGATGGAGATAGCCAGTGTTCACAAACCCTCCCCTTCCTCCCAGCCCTCCTCTAACACCAACTGAGTGCTGGAGAGGGTGGAGAGAGAATTCTGTTTCTACTAACACAACAACTGTCAGCAATCCCTGCTGGAAGGTAGTAGGCCCCCTCAGAAAGTTTGGATTTAGAATAGTCTGGAAGGAAATAGGAAAATTCCGTTGATAAACCTAAAACTACACTTTTATAGTTAGATGGTGTGGAGCCATATTATACAGGGTCTGTAAAGGAATGCTTAAGCAATGGAATTGAAACTTGATAATTTATTTATAGATATTAACAAGTCTCGTATATGAGTCATTGTACCTTAAGCAGGGGAATGAAAGGATGAAAGGTATGTCCAGGAATACCCATCTGGCGGGGAATGCAAGACACTTTGTAGGTGATAGAAACTGGATAGCAATTAAGAAGCAGCTTCAATGATATGTCAATTAATTCCTTCATTCAACACTTGATTTTTACTGCTTTATGTTCTGGATGAGTGCCTGGGTGGTGCAAATGGGTAAGCACTCGACTACTAACCAAAAGGTTGTTGGTTCAACCCCATTCAGAGGTACCTTGGAAGAAAGGCCTAGTGATCTGCCTCTAAAAGGTCTTGAAAACCCTATGGAGAAGTTCTACTCTGCAACACATGACGTCATCATGAGTCAGAATCATCTCAACAGCAACTGATACTATTTTATTTTGTTTTAATCTTCCAGGCAATACCCTAAGCTTTGAATATAGGCTTTGAGAGTATGACTATGAATAATATACAGCTCCTGCCTTCAAGGAGCTCAAGTCTAACAGTAGAAACATAGATATAAACAAATATCTTGTGAAGCACTGTGATAAATGTCATAAACATGGAATAAACAAAGTGTTATAGAGAAGCACCAAGGATGAATCATGTAACTGTCAAGAAGCAGAGAAAGGCTTCACAGAGGAGGTGAAATTTGACCTGAGTCTTGATGGATATGTTAGAGTTTTTAGGTAGGAGAGAGTACAAAGAGATGGAGGCATGAAATGAAAATTGGGAAAAGTTCATATAGCTAGTTACCAGACCTTGATGTGGGGGGTGGAGATTCATGAGACTGAAAAGGTAGGTTGGGATCCAGATTATGAGAGGTCTTATATGTTCTAAGAAGGAGTTTGGACCCTGTGGTCTAGGCAGTCTGGTTTATAGAAACACCAGAGGCCTCGGAATCATAAAGATCTGAGTTTGAGTCATTGTTCCACCTTTTACTTAACATCTCTGAGTCTCAATTCTTCATCTGTGTCATGAAGGTAATAATACCTACCTTACAGAGTTGTTGTGAAGATTAGATAAGACAGGTGTAACATATATTATACATATACATAAAATAATTAATGTAAAGTTCCAGAAATTCCTCTATTATTTTTCAATAATATCAAATCAATAGAGAATTTTAAACATAGGAATAGCATGAAAAAATAAGACTCATAACTGTGTATAAATGAGACTGACTAGTTTCAGGGAGCTATTACATTAGCCAAAGAAACTATCATCAGGATTGATTTTAAACTATGGTAATAGGAGTTGAGAAGAGGGACATAACTGAGTAAAATAAGCAGAATTTTTCAAAAGATTGGAGCAGGGGGGACAGGGAAGGAGAGAGGAAAGAGTCATGAAACATGAATCCAAATTTCTATCATGGGGAACTTGCTGGGTGGTGGCACCATTAACCAAAGAGATGGTAGTAAGGTTTAGACCAGGGTGGTGATGGGACAATGGAAAGTAAAGGATGAACAATTAAGATTTTTTTTTTCTTATGGCTTCAAGTGGGTATTGCAAGCACGTGTAAGTGCATATATACAAATAAAATAGCCTGTAAATAAACATTCCAAAATATAAATAATATTTATCACTAAATGAAAAAGTTTCAGGTGATTCTTATTTTTCATTTTAATACTAGTCAAATTTTCTCAACTAACAACATATTTATGACACCAAAATAAAATAAATGTTTTAATAGAAAATTTTCTTAATGTACTATGATATTAAAGACGTATTTATTATAAAAATTTGTAAATACAGAAATGTACAGTTTTAAAAAATCACTGATAATTTGACTCGAGAATATATACCAGATCGTACTGAATATAAGGTTCTATATCATATTTTTTCTTCACTTTACATTTTGTCAAAGCAATTTTCCCTGTGTTTTAATGTATAGTGTACTAACTTTACTCCTAGTAACAAATATTTTTAATATGTCCATTTTTAGAGACACATCCAAGGAAGAAAGCTTCAACAATTAGAAATCTGCGTAAAACTTGTGTCCTGATAATGTCAATACTGTCATCTTCATCATCCCAGTGTTAAATTTTTAAACCTGAAGGCCTGAGTTTCCTCTGAGGTTTGCTTTTCTGGTCAATTTGGGTTTAAACACAAATTAATAACAGTGTATTCTAACTTTAAAGACCCTAATCCATCTAAAAATTCCGACCTAAGATTGCCAGCCTAAATTCACCCATTCACTCTAAACTGTGTTCGCCTCCTGAATCTTCCATTGGGCCAGATGTATTCTACTCTGCCTCTGATACCCAGAATCCAGAAGTCTCTGTGAAGTGCCTCTGTCCCCTGCTGTGCTGGAACTTGTACAAAGGGAGACAAACATGCACTCCATCCCTACCACTGAGAGCTGATGGCATAACACAGAGCCACTGACTATGAGTCATGGCACAGCACAGGCAGAGAAAAGAACAGTAAGATTTCATGTCTTCTCCAAGTCCAAAATAGGTCCCTAGGTGGCACAGTTTGTGCTCAACTGCTAACCTAAAGGTTGGCTGTTCAACCCTACCCAGAGGTATCACAGAGCAAAGGTCTGGAGATCTTCTTCCATTAAGATTGTTGTTGTTGTTAGCTGCTATTGAGTCAGTTCCGACTCACAGTGACCTTATGTGTTACAGCCAAAAAACCCCATGGAGCAGTTCTACTCTGTAACACATGGGGTCACCATGTGTCAGAATCAATTCAATGGTAACCAACAACAAACAATAACCAAGTCCAAAGGTTAAAGAACCTTAAGGTCAGAGAGAGCACAGGGTACACACTAAACAGTCCTTAGAGATATTAGGTAGAATCATATAAATTGCTATTTTCGAAGTTAAAAAAAAAAAAAGTTAAATACTAACCATTTCACTTACGGTTCAACCTATACATATAACCTATGCCACATGTTCAGTCCAGCAGAAGCCATTGATGCTGAGTCCTCTGCTCTAATCAATCTGATGAGAATTCTGGGAAATGTGACATTTCAGGACCTATTTAAATGAAAAAAGAGAGACAACCTTGAATATTAGGCATCCTATTTAAAAAGAGAAGAAAGAGCAGTCTCTGCTTTGGAGAAACTGAGAGGCAACCAAGGAGTAAATTAAAGGAGACAATGAGAGTGTGTGTATTTCTAAAACAGTAAGATAGGGCTAGGAATGTGACCACATAACTGAGGGCATCTCAAGATCCTCATATACCCACTCCTCTGCTTGCCCACTTAATCCACCTGGCTGAATGGAGAGAGCCAACCACACACTTGTCACTGAATTTGTCTTCCTGAGATTTTCTAACTCCCCATGTCTCCAGCTGCTCTTCTTCTCCCTCTTCCTCCTGGTCTACCTCTTGTCCATGGTAGGCAATGCACTCATTGTGTTCATTGTTCTCCTGGATGGACACCTTCACACTCCCATGTACTTCTTCATCAGCAACCTCTCCCTGGTAGAGCTCTGGTACACCACAGTCACCGTGCCCAAGATGCTGGCGAATTTTCTAAGTCCCCAAGGGGTCATCTCGGTTCCCAACTGCATCACCCAATACTACTTCTTCTTCTCCTTGGCTGCCACCGAGCTCTTCATCCTCACCACCATGGCCTTTGACCGCTACGCTGCCATCTGCGACCCACTCCACTACCCACTGCTGCTCAGCCCCCAAATCTGTGGGACTCTGGCTGGGGTCTGCTGGTCCGTGGGATTTCTCTGCCCCATGTTCCCCTCATTCCTCCTTGCACAAATCTCTTTTTGCACCCCCAACCAGATTAACCACTTCTTCTGTGATGCTGATCAGATTTTTCGTCTTTCCTGCACAGACACATATGCCATCCAAGCAGTGAGCTACGCTTTCAGCACTGTCATTATCCTAGGAGCCCTGGTCTTTACCATAGCTTCCTATGCCCGAATCCTAGCCACAATTCTAGCCATGGCCTCAGCTGCTGCCCAACGCAAGGCCTTCTCCACCTGCACAGCCCACCTTTCTGTGGTCACCATCTACTTTGGCACTCTCATATTCATGTATGTCCGCCCAGCAGTGAAATATGAGTCGGATATCAACAAGATTGTTGCCATCTTCTACTCAGTCATCACCCCACTTCTCAATCCTCTCATCTATACACTCCGCAACAAGGATGTCAAGGAGGCTCTGAAGGTGTTGTCATCCCGGATCCAAAGCAAGGGGCTTTAGTGATGGTGCCACATGAGAAGCCAGAAGAAACAAAACTAAGGGAATATCAAAATGGAAAATTAACTTTAATCATTGCTTTTTGCCTGTGCAGTATAGCTCTGTGTATGTGTATGTGTGTGCAAGCGCGCACGCCCACTCATGTGTGCAAATTACCCCTTAGATACACGAGATTATTTGTTTTGTTATTGTGTGTCTCTGTGTGTGGTGAATACACAGGTAAAAAATATATATATTTCCCATTTCAGCAATCTTCACAGGTACAACTCAATGACATTACTTACGTTCATCATTTTGTTCAAAGGTTCGCCACAAACCTTTCCTGAATTTTTTCATCACCCTTAACAGGAGCTCAGTGTCCCCCAAGCATTGTGTCTTCCAGCATTAAGTTCAAATTTTTTATTTTAAATTTATTTTTCAAAATGATATATAATCTCAATGTGGTTATCTAGGGCACATTTTAAGTGAAAGATTTGTTTCTCCTTCCAGCCAGTATATTCATGAGCTGCCTGTTCCTACGGTTGTTCAGTTTTTGCTGAGGGAAAAGGAGTGGATAACCTCATGTTAATATTAGTATAGGGAAATGGCTCAGGCTTTGTAGTCCATGCATCTGGATTAGAAATTCAGCTCTGCCACTTAACTAGCATCACTTGGGTAGGTCACTAAGCCATTGAAACCCACGCATAGGTAACTGTAGAGCAACAGAACCTTTTAACCTCCCTCAGAGGTCATTCTGAAATTCATTTGACTTAATAACATGTAAAGCACTACCAAAAATAGCATGCAAAGCACTAAAAAATAAAATAAATGGCTTAGTTTAGTATATTAGCCTCCATCAAGCATAATTACAAAGATTGGGCTTCTGCCAAAATACTTTTTTTTTACAAAATGCAATATTCCTTTCTGATTATAAAGACAACACATCCACTGCAATGTACTGAAAAAATACAAAACTGCATGCTATAGAAAATAAGAGTCCCATCCTCTAGCTTAACCAAGAAAATTTTTAATTTTTAAGTAGTATCCATAATGGTGACTCCAGGAACTTGAGTTGAAAGATGTTTTTCATTCATATGGCTGAAAATAAGGCAAACTTGGGGAAAAGAAACCTTTATTTCAAAGGGTTCCAAAAGTGGAACATTCATAAAAATTAGACTTGTCCTTCTGAAAGTCAGAAAATTTCTACATGGTACACCAGCACTTCGTATTATGCCCTCATTTCTTGACAATTTTTTTTTTAAGTGCGATGACACATAGCCCTGCTTCTCATAAAGTTGATGACTATCACGGCTGCTAAAAAGACTCCTTTCAGGGCTGTTGGAAGCATCTGTATTGCCAGAGCTGTCAAGTGCTATAAGCAACAAGAGTGTGGGAGCTTTCTTTATCATTCAAGTAAGTACAGCTAGAATGCTCCTTAGAAGCTAGGATGGTTCGATTTTGTCTTGCTTACTTTGGACATGTCATCAGAAAAAAACAATAGCTAATAAGGACATCATGGTTGGTAAAGTAGAGGGTCAGCAAAAACAAAGGAAATCCTCAATGAGATGGATTGACACATAGCTTGCAACAATGGGCTCAAACATACCAATGATCATGAGGATGGCTCAGGACTGGGCAGTATTTAGTTCTGTTATACATAAGGTCACCATGAGTTAGAGCTGACTCCATGGCAACTATCTTAGTTATCTAGTGCTGCTATAACAGAAATATCACAAGTGGATGGCTTTAACAAAGAAAAATTTATTCTCTCACAGTCTAGTAGGCTACAAGTCCAAATTCAGGGTGTCAGCTCCAGGGGAAGGCTCTTTTTCTCTGTCAGCTCTGGAGGAAGGTCCTTGTCATCAATTTTCTCCGTGCAGGAACACCATGTCCAAAGGACACGCTCTGCTCCTGGCACTACTTTCTTGGTGGTATGAGGTCCCTGTGTCTCTCTGCTTGCTTCTCTCTTTTATATCTTGAAAGAGATTGGCTTAGAATACAATCTAATCTTGTAGATCTCATCAACATAACTGTCACCAATCCCATCTCATCAACGTCAATAGAGATAGATTTTACAACACATAAGAAAATCACATCAAATGACAAAATGGTGGACACAATACTGGCAATCATGGCCTAGCCAAATTGATACACGTATTTTTGGGGGACACAATTCAATCCATAACAGCAACTAACAACAACAACAACAACAAAGCCAGATGCATCGCCAAACATCGCAGGAACTCCCTCTGAGCAGCGTGTAAAGCTTTTCTTTCTAGTCAAAGTTTTGTTTGAAAGAAAAAAAAAAATTTACCATTTCCAAGACATGAACAGTCTTTGTAGTTTCCAAAGAGAAATCATAAAATAAGAGTGCTCTGATGGCATCAACATAGTAGAGCAAACAAACAAACAAAAGCTGCTACATTGAGAGAAATGGCAATGATTATTTCAAAATGTTTAAAGAAATATCAGCTATTCTAGAATATACTACATCTCTAACAAAGGAATAGCTTCCAGTTTTTCCTATGCTTCAGTCCACAAACCAGCTGACCCTTTTTAAGGCACATGGCTTCACTAAACTCCCTGTAACTCAAGCTTCTTCAGTTTGGCTATTTGGAAAGCAACTATATAAAATACAGTTGCTTTCTGATTCATAGTGACCCTGTAGGACAGAGTAGAACGGTCCCATAGTGTTTCCAAGAAGCAGCTGGTGGATTCGAACGGCCAACCTTTTTGGTTAATAGCCGAGCTCTTAACCATTGTGCCACCAAGTCTCTTGACTTGGCAAATCTCAGTTTGTACAGTAAGTGTCACAGCTTTTTCAAGTAGACATCTCTTACATGAAGAAAAGAAAAACCTAGACATTGTTTTGATGCATTTTCAGAATAAACAGACTTGAGGTGCTCTTTCAATGTGCTTGCTTTTCCACACTAAAAACACTACAACTTCTGTATCCTATCATGTTTATTAATTCAAGTGACACTCTAAAATACAAAGTCTTCATCACACTTTCTTATATTTGACATTTCAACTTAATTGAGTCTACAAAATATAAAATAAATAAAGCTAAACTGAAATATTTTATTCAATTGATTTTTTTTAGAAATCAACTTTTGCATGGTTTTAACGAATTCAGTATATCTGCACATTGTTGTTAACAGGTACCATCGAGTTGATTCTGACTCATAGCAACTCTATGCACAACAGAACGAAACACTTCCCGGTCCTGTGTCATCCTCACAATCGTTGCTATGTTTGAGCCCATTGTTGCACCCACTGTGTCAATCCATCTCATTGAGGGCCTTCCTTTTTTTTGATGACCCTCTATTTTACCAAGCATGATGTTCTTCTCCAGGGCCTGGTCCCTCCTGATAACATGTCCAAAATATGTGAGACGAAGAAGTCTCACCATCCTTAATTCTAAAGAGCATTCTGGCTGTACTTCTTCCAAGACAGATTTGTTTGTTCTTTTGGCAGTCCATTGTATATTAAATATTCTTGGCCAACACCATAATTCAAAGTCATCAATTCTTCCTTGGTCTTTCTTATTCATTGTCCAGCTTTCACATGCATATGGGGCAATTGAAAACACCATGGCTTGGGTCAAGAGCATCTTAGTCCTTAAAGTGGCATCTTTGCTTTTTAACACTGTAAAGAGATCTCTTACAGCTGATTTACCCAATGCAATGCGTCTTTTGATTTCCTGACTGCTGCTTCGATGGGTGTTGATTGTGGATCCAAGTAAAATGAAATCCTTAAGAACTTCAATCTTTTCTCGGTTTATCATAATGTTGCTTACTGGTCCAGTTGTGAGGATTTTTGTTTTCTTTATGTTGAGGTGTGTCATGGATTGAATTATGTCCCTCAAAAAATGTGTGGATCAGTTTGGCTGGGCCATGATTCCCGGTATTGTTTGATTTTCCTCTATGTTGTAAATCCTGCCTCTATGATGTTAATGAGGGAGGATGGGCAGCAGTTGTGTTAGTGAGACAGGACTCTATCTACAAGATTGGATTGTGTCCTGAAGCAATCTCTTGAGATATAAAAGAGAGAAGTGAGCAGACAGAAGAGGGGGACCTCATACCATCAAGAAAGCAGTGCCGGGAGCAGAGCGCATCCTTTGGACAGGGGTTCCTGTGCTGAGAAGCTCCTAGTCCGGGGGAACACTGATGAGAAGGCCGAGAGAGAGAAAGCCTTCCCCTGGAGCTGACACCCTGAATTTGGACTTTTAGCCTACTTTACTGTAAGGAAATAAACTTCTCTGTTAAAACCATCCACTTGTGGTATTTCTGTTATAGCAGCACTAGATAACTAAGACAAGGTGTAATCCATACTGAAGGCTGTAGTCTTTGATCTTCTCAGTAAGTGCTTCAAGTCCTCTTCACTTTCAGCAAGAAAGGTGGTGTCATCTGCATAATGCAGGTTGTTAATGAGTTTTGCTCCAGTCCTGATGCCCTGTTCTTCATATAGTCCAGCTTCTCGGATTATTTGCTCAGCATACAGATTGAATAAGTATGGTGAAAGAATACAACCCTGACACACACCTTTCCTGACTTTAACCCACGCAGTATCCCCTTGTTCTGTTCGAAGAACTGCCTCTTGGTCTAAGTACAGATTCCTCATGAGCACGATTAAGTGTTCTGGAATTCCCATTCTTCTCAATGTTATCCATAATTTGTTATGATCCACACAGTCAAATGCCTTTGCATGGTCAATAAAACATAGGTAAACATCTTTCTGGCATTCTCTGCTTTCAGCCAGGATCCACCTGACATCAGTAATGATACCCCTGGTTCCACATCCTCTTCTGAATCCAGCTTGAATTTCTGGCATTTCCATATGGATGTACTGCTGTAACCACTTTTGAATGATCTTCAGCATAATTTTACTTGTGTGCAATATTAATGATATTGTTCCATAATTTTCACATTCTGTTGGATCTCCTTTCTTTGGAAGGGGTACAAATATGGATCTTTTCCAGTCGGTTGGCCAGTGTCATGGATTGGATTGTGTCCCCCAAAAAT